GAAGCGTTGCAGAATATTCCGGCACCAATCTACACGAGCCGCCTTTTGCTCTTCGGACAAATTGTGGAAAACCCAGCGAGAAACTAGCTTTCTTACACACAGCTCATTATGTAATATCGACTGAAAAAAGTCATTCCGATACTGATAACAGCCCGAATCTGCTCGTATGTCACATGACGGTCATCTAATATAATAGTTCGCACAGCTGCGATGTTTTCAGGCGTGACCGCTGTTCTTGGTCGACCTGCAGAAGAAACAGTGCTGAGCGACACACGACCGCGTCGGAACTCGGCATACCAGCGGTATATTGTCGTTTGACACGGTGCTTCAACATCATAAATCGAAACAAGTTCGCTGAGACATTTATCTTGTGATAAGCCGCGACGAAAATTGTGATAAATTATGGCGCGGAAATGTTCACGCCTGAGCTCCATTTCTGTTAACGACGTGTCAACTTTAAACCAACATAGTTTTTGTTTTTAAACATTTTTTTAATTGTTTGAATGTCATTAAGATTCTAAGAGGCCAGTATTCATATTCTAAAAAAGGTTTCATTGTAACTCAATCCGAAATATTCTATTCCCGATCATTTCAGTGTGCCCTACGTATATATATACTCGGTTCAGCTGAAATCAAAGAGCGAAACTGCTTTAGTTAGTGTTAGTTAGTTATTAACTCGAATATATATTCAACTTAATACTAACTATTTCTACTCATGCCGTCATTTTATCTTTTTCTACCAAATTCAAAAAGGAGGAGGTAATCTATTTGACTGTATGTTTTTTTTTTTTGTGTTACTTTATAGCTTTTTCTCAGAGAACCGATTTCGATGGTTCTTTTTTATTTGAAAACTGGCGCTTCTCATGTGGTCCAATTTAAATTTGATCAAGGTCTGACCAATAGTTTTTGAGTTGTCCTTAATTACTTCTATATTGTAGTCGGTTTTATAAAAAAATTAATTTTAAATTATTTCATTTAAAACATTAGTGAGTCTATATGAGTTCAGTAGACACAATATCGTAGCACCGAGACGCATGTCATCCACTGATGAACACTAGATATGTGTCAATCGTGTATGATTCGTTCATTTGACTCGGGTCGCATCAAAGTATTAATGTTTGCAATTACATTTTTGAACGTTCCGGTTCAAACGATTGATAGGACCCTCGATGAAAGAGTTATAGTAATGTCCGACAAGCGACATTATCGAGCGGGTTTCTCAGATTACAGAGTACTGACACTAACAATGATCCATTTGAATGATCGAGCCGAATATCCGTGTTCGTAAGACGAATCAATACTTGAATGATCGGGTCGTTGGAAATGAACGAATGACATGTCTAATGAATACAGACGACTATTTAAATGCGTTGCACTCGTCCACGAATATCTCGGCGAGCTGCTCGCCCGATAATCTAAACGTTCCATAAAATATCTGGTAACAATTATGGTAAATTCTCCCCTTGTATATAGCCAGCTGAATTTATATTGACAGTCACTCATTGATAATATGTTGTGTTCGCGCCAAACGCTAATTTCAAGAATTAACGCGAGAGGGCGCTCGGCGCGGTGCATTCGTACGGGTTTGACGTACGCGCGAGAGAGTTATTTTCCTACCGGCGGCGGGGTCGAGTCGAACAGTTGCTATAATACTGTGCTAACGAGAGCACGTTTAAGGACGCCCGGGAAACCTCCATTTTTGGAGTCGGTTTTGTTAGCAGACGTTGCCACGACGAAGGTTTCTTTGTTAATTCTAGAATTCGACGCCGGGCTGACAAATTGTTAGGAAGTTAACATTGACTGCGATCAAAGTCTGAATTGCGTGTTAGGCGCGCCTAATTTACCGCGAATTTGGTTATTCTAATTTGATAGCGTATATAAGTGATTTGACAATATTAATTGCTCGTGCGGTGTGTTACGTTTTTGCTTATAGTAACGGGATTTCATATAGACCGACATTCTGTATTTGTTTTGGGTGTTACGCTTTATAACAAATTAGAGTTAGTGGCTTCTGTAAGTTAGTTAATCGTATGATAGAGTTAATGGACTGTCATCGTGACGAACGAAGAAAGTGACTGTGGACGGCGCCGCGGAAGATTACCTCATTTTGGAGCAGCCTGGAACTCGGCCGCTGCTGGTCGCCTATGCTTGCCAAGGCCCCACACATTCACACCTCACTGTACACTACTCGCCATCCACTATTACACACACTCACGGCCTGCCCAAGCCTTGGTGCGAAGTTAGCATCGGATAATGGTAAGTACTATGTGTTTCTAGCTTTCTCCCATATAGTTTATTGTATTTAGAATATATTCCACGTGGCCATATTCTGGCTCCGCCCCTCTGCTGCCCGTCGATGGGATTACTCATGGGCCCTAATCCCGTCATCCTTGGTTGGGGCAGCTAGGGGCGTGTATATGTTGTATGTATGTTTTATGATCGCTCCGTGGCGCTAGTGGTCGCAAATACAACTACTGATCATCAGCTCTCGTGTTTGAATCCCGGGTAGGACCAAAAAAACAGTTTTGAGTTTTTCTCTCAAGAAGTTCTCAGGAGCAGCCCGGAGTCAGGAAGTTGGTGTTTCTATGACGGAACAGGGCGTTGCATACTCTTTCGTCACCATTACACGTAGGGGTGAGGGGGGGGGGGACTTGCGATATTATAAAACTAACTGGAAGTTACCGATAATAGTCGCTGTGTTAGAAATTGGTGATATAATTGTGGGATTGTTTCAATATAATAACAAGATGTAATAATTTTAAATTACGCAAATAAATAGTGTCGCACAATTAGCTACGTCTGTTCCTACCTTAAGTTTGTACGCCTCTTATGTTTTGTTATTATGTAATTAACTATAAAGATGTACAAATAGGTTAGTGTAAAAATGTAAGTAATTGTGTAAATATTAAATTACGTGACGTGCCAAAATATTGATTTTTTATTATTATGTTATTGTTACCTTTAGTTTGACACTTACTCAATTTTTGATGTGTAACATCTTTCCTCTTCCTTTTCCGCAAGTTGGGGGTAGTGATTTCGTGAAAAGGGACGGAAGTGTGTAACAGGAAGCTGGGAAGCGCGCGCTATTTGATTTGACCAATGAGCGCGCGCGGTGGTAGTAATGTGTGCTGTTATGTAAACTAATTTATATATGTGTAAACTATATTAATAAATGTATTTACTGTTGATAATAAGTATCTGAAAAAAGTGCAGATGATTAATAAAAATTGCAAGTGAGTAATAATGAATAATTACTCGAATAAATATTTTAATTGATTAGAAAAACAAATAGCATTTTTCAGGATATAATGTTAATGTTGCCTATTACCAAGAAGAGATGTCAGACGTTACACATCATATGCGACTACTGTAAGGCTTGCTCGTTTTTGTTTTAAATTAAATTTTAATGTAAACGCTGATAGTTTTGTTTCATTTAACTCTACTCCCTCCCAATTAAACCTACCTGGATACTCCAACATTGTTAGAGCTAACATACTGTTACGTGTAAAGTAAGTAAAAATGCCAATTAGAATGAGAAATGGAAGAATTCTTCCACACACATCAACTATACAATCATGTCCAAATTCTCTAGATAGATCGGAAAGATCCTTAATAATCGCATATGTCGCAGGTCGATGGCTCGTAGTCGCTCCACGAAGTAAAGTCACTATCGCGTTCCAGAAATAATTGATTCTCCATCGCCGGTGCTCGGCTTATCATGGTAGAGCTACGATGCAGCTATATCATGGTTGTAGCGAGTCGGCTCTACCGAGGAAGGACCACGCCCTTATAGAATACGAGCTTAAAACAGAGAGAATTAAATATTTATTGCGTTCGTTAACAACTTCATAAAAAGTATACAAAGGACGGATCAAATGCCAGTCTATCAATCAACAATAGTGAATTATATACTGTGTGCAATCAACCCAAGACACCGATAATTGGCGAAGTATCGGTGTCTTGGGTGTACAATATCGTCCCACGGCTCTCGTGAGAGGTGACATAGGGAAACTAAAACGAGATGGACAGCAGGTAACAACTAAAAATTATAAAAAAATTGCGTGGCATCTCGCCTGCTAAACGTGGCAACTGCAGCAAAATCCTTCCATGAGGCAATCTATGAGGGCGGCCTATGTTCAGCAACGCACTATACAGGGTTATTTTGCAATAACCGGCCAAATTTGCAGAGAATGTTCAGAATAAGTAATATAACGATGAAGAAAAATTAATTAAAAAAAATCTCAAACAATCAGTCCTTTTTATCTTTTAATACAAAATGCTTGGTAATGCATTATTTTAACTGAATGACGACCATTTTACCACGCACGCACACATTGGTAAGGGTCGATCGGTCGGCAAAAACGTTGTGAATTGAATCGCACACAGGAGCGCGCGTAAGCGTAGTTGTCTATAAATCACATTCCATTTGGGATAATTTGAAATAAAAGTAGCAGCCATATTTACCCGTATTTTCAAAAACTATAATAATGGTATAACATTATTTATATATATTTTTTTTTATAGGAGAGGGGGCAAACGAGCATGCGGTAATTGACTACTCACCTGATGGTAAGTGACTACCGCCGCCCATGAACAACCGCAACACCAGGGGAATTGCAGATGCGTTGCCGGCCTTTTAAAAAGGAGTAGGCTATATACTTAAATTTAAGTTTAAAATTTGGCTACTCTTTGAAAAATAACCCTGTATAGGCTGTAATTGATGGATTTTTTTTTCGGGACGACTTGCATTCTGATTATTTGTTTTTTAAGTAAAAATAATGCATTTGTCAATCATTCCAGTACCAAGTCCCAAGAGAGCTATTTTTCTACAACGACCAGTAAAAAGTTTAATTTGTTTTTTTTTTAATATAAGTATATTTGTATCTCTATATTTACAGAATTGTGGGACACTAAACAAATTTTGTATTCAACATTTACTACAATAGTGTTTTATAGTTTTTTCTGTCGTCTGCTAGTTAGTGTAGGTACTTATTGGTCTTCTATTCTAGTCTATTATTGTAGCTAGTAGGTGGCGGTAGTGTAGCGAGGTAGTCGAGTGCACGTTGTATAGCGGGCGGTATCGGCGGCGGGGTGGGTACGTGATCTCCCTCTGCGTGGAAGCCATTCCTGTCAGCCTTGTACAGGACATTTATAACCTGGAATAGAATTTCAGTTGTAGTTGCCATATTTACTCTTTGTCTATCTTTCCAGAATTGGGAGTATCTTTTTACCTATTTCTACCGCTAAACAACAACTGTACAGGAGCAGTAGAGTGTGAACATGATTTATTTCCTCCCCTCCCCTACCCTTTCTACCATCGGACGACAAAACGAACGGTGGGTCTCCACCTCCACCGTTTGTTTAAATCGAAAAATCGGCAATATTTCGTTAAAAACGTTTTGCTTTGTCTTTTGTTACCCGAATTTTTCTTTCGCTTACTTACGTTGCGTTTCCAGTTTTCTCGATTATGATTTCGTTTTCTACCCGGAGTAGCTTTCTTCGGAACAGTCCTTTTCACTTTTCTTGCTGTCCCTTCAGGAGTGGTAATATTTTCAGGTATGTTTGTAGCTGTTGGTATCTCTTGTAAAGGAATATTATGTTGTGAAGAATGTTCAGAACTATTTGTAGAATCATCTTGGTCGTAAGGGAAATATTCCGAAACGTCAGGAGAAAATGGTTCTTTTTTACTAGATGAGGAGTAGGAATCTGGATAGTAATTTACCAGCGCATTTTCCCGTATATTATTTTTGAATGAAAGTAAGTTTTCACCATGTTCGAGAAAATACCTATTATCTTGTGGTAGAGTAATTTTCTGGGTAGCATGATCATCTGCCTTGGACGAAGTCGAAGCTTCTTCTTGATCTAAAATGTTAAGTACCGATTATAACAAAGTTCACTTTAGCAAGCATTTACATCTGGCAAGGAGCGTCGGAGTGCAATGCACATGCGCAAGCGATCACGTATAAACGTATTTTCGCACGAAACCTGCATAAACCTAAACCGAGTAACTCGACAAAGTACTCGACTCTGTAATGAATAACAAATCCGAATAAATTCTGTATTCGGTTACTCGGTACAACTTTAACTCGGTACCTCTTTAATTTAAACTGACTGAACGGCTCCGATGCGCTTGCCAATACGTATTTATTGCTAATGCTGACAATTTACATTAAAATACAACTTACCTGTTGAAATTCCATTTAATGATAATGCCAAATTTAAAATATTTTGGCTACGCTTCATTTTACTATGGTTTTACTCTATAAAAGCCAAAATAGTCACCATGTACACTTCTCACTTCTTTATACTAAACCACACAACCACACTAAACTTCTAGGAGTGCGAGTAAACTGCCAGACGACAACATCGCAATTCGTCATAACTTGTCATAACACGATAAAAACTATCGTAATTATCCGCGCAACAACATTGTAAATCAACATACAATGCAGTAACATTACGTTTTATGATCATAAACCCGAATTTTGTCATGTACAAAGATTGTATATAATATTACAATGTTATTGTATTTTATTGACATGCTACTCATAATATTTTCTATAAATTGTAAATAAAGTTGCAGCGATATTGTTGAAAAAAAATACTTTTTTGTTATGTTACAATACTTTGACATTTGTATATTTCAAAAACTAATGGGAACAGAATTACAACGATTGTACAGAAAAATTGTATATTTTTTTTACATAGCAATATCATTGTAATGTAATTTATAGCAAAAAATGAGTTACGATGTTATTGCATGGAGGTGTCGATATATGCCATGAAAGCAGTAAAATAGTATTTTCATTAAAGGCGATAAATATCACACCTACATGTAAAACGCCACTAAAATTTAGCTAACGACATTGTATTTCGGTTCGAATCGAGAGGAGTTTTTAGTAACATCTATTATTTTTCCATCAAAAATCTTTTTAAATAAAAGTTGTGCTAATAGACATATGTTAAAATAAATCATTATTTTATCATTGCTACATAAAGAAAATAAATTTTTGCACACCATAAGCGTGGTCATATGCGAACATATAATTTATATAAATTATTAAAATGATCAGAACAGGGTTAAAACAATAAATCATAATTCATAATCCACAGTTTTTTTTCCGTGGGTACTCTAGGAATTAATTTACAATTGCAATGCTAATAGTTGCACATTGCTAACCTATTTTTGATTATATCTTTATACTAAATAGGTACTTATCTTTTTCCTCGTCGCCACTTGTAATGTCTGCTATCTTCTCTAATCCTTGTAGTGTAACACAGGCTCGACACTCACTTAACTTAACACGTCCACTCTCGCTCGAGGCTCTCATGTAACTGACGCGGTGCGCTCGAGACTGTGACATATATATATATATAAACACTACACAGACCTTAATCAAATTTATATGGAACCACATGAGAAGCATCATCGGAATCGAAATCGGTTCACCAGAAACAAAGTTATGAGGTAACACATAAAAAAAAAAGAAAACATACAATTCAATTGAGTACTGGCTCCTTTTTGAAATCTGTAGTAAAATATAAGTACGAGGGGCACACTGAAATGATCGGGAATAAGAAAAACCACATGCACGGTATAGCTAAATTATATTTTATTGTTTTTCGAAGTATTCTCCGTTCAACTTAATGCACTTTTCCATTCGTGCAAACCAATCATTAAAACAGTAATTCCAGTCTGAAGTTGATGTTGACAAAATGGCTGATTTGTACGCTTCCACAGCTGCTTCGGGGTCTTCAAACCGTTGACCGCATAATAAATCTTTCATTCTAGGGAATGTAAAGAAATCGTTTGGGCTCAGGTCAGGACTGTACGGAGGATGGCTCATCAGCTTATCGTTTTCCTGCTTCAAAAAATCATTTGTCTTCCGAGCCGTATGGGAGCTCGCATTATTGTGATGTAAGATGATGCGACGTTTCGGGTTATTTTTTCAGAGTTCGGCTATCATTTCTGGCAAATAAACCGTGATATACCACTCAGCGGTAACCGTTCTGCGTTCCTGTAAAGGAATTGTAGCAACATGCCCCTTTTTCGAGACAAACGTAGCGACCATTTTCTTTGACACGCTGCGGGAGCGAACCACTTTCGTTGGTTTGACCTCGTCTTCGAAGACCCAAACTGCTGACTGATGTTTTCTTTCAGGTTCGTATGAATAAATCCATGATTCGTCACCTGAGACGATATTATAAACGGCATTTGACTTCCCTCCGTTGAAGCGTTGCAGAATATTCCGGCACCAATCTACACGAGCCGCCTTTTGCTCTTCGGACAAATTGTGGAAAACCCAGCGAGAAACTAGCTTTCTTACACACAGCTCATTATGTAATATCGACTGAAAAAAGTCATTCCGATACTGATAACAGCCCGAATCTGCTCGTATGTCACATGACGGTCATCTAATATAATAGTTCGCACAGCTGCGATGTTTTCAGGCGTGACCGCTGTTCTTGGTCGACCTGCAGAAGAAACAGTGCTGAGCGACACACGACCGCGTCGGAACTCGGCATACCAGCGGTATATTGTCGTTTGACACGGTGCTTCAACATCATAAATCGAAACAAGTTCGCTGAGACATTTATCTTGTGATAAGCCGCGACGAAAATTGTGATAAATTATGGCGCGGAAATGTTCACGCCTGAGCTCCATTTCTGTTAACGACGTGTCAACTTTAAACCAACATAGTTTTTGTTTTTAAACATTTTTTTAATTGTTTGAATGTCATTAAGATTCTAAGAGGCCAGTATTCATATTCTAAAAAAGGTTTCATTGTAACTCAATCCGAAATATTCTATTCCCGATCATTTCAGTGTGCCCTTCGTATGTACTCGGTTCAGCTGAAATCAAAGAGCGAAACTGCTTTAGTTAGTGTTAGTTAGTTATTAACTCGAATATATATTCAACTTAATACTAACTATTTCTACTCATGCCGTCATTTTATCTTTTTCTACCAAATTCAAAAAGGAGGAGGTAATCTATTTGACTGTATGTTTTTTTTTTTGTGTTACTTTATAGCTTTTTCTCAGAGAACCGATTTAGATGGTTCTTTTTTATTTGAAAACTGGCGCTTCTCATGTGGTCCAATTTAAATTTGATCAAGGTCTGACCAATAGTTTTTGAGTTGTCCTTAATTACTTCTATATTGTAGTCGGTTTTATAAAAAAATTAATTTTAAATTATTTCATTTAAAACATTAGTGAGTCTATATGAGTTCAGTAGACACAATATCGTAGCACCGAGACGCATGTCATCCACTGATGAACACTAGATATGTGTCAATCGTGTATGATTCGTTCATTTGACTCGGGTCGCATCAAAGTATTAATGTTTGCAATTACATTTTTGAACGTTCCGGTTCAAACGATTGATAGGACCCTCGATGAAAGAGTTATAGTAATGTCCGACAAGCGACATTATCGAGCGGGTTTCTCAGATTACAGAGTACTGACACTAACAATGATCCATTTGAATGATCGAGCCGAATATCCGTGTTCGTAAGACGAATCAATACTTGAATGATCGGGTCGTTGGAAATGAACGAATGACATGTCTAATGAATACAGACGACTATTTAAATGCGTTGCACTCGTCCACGAATATCTCGGCGAGCTGCTCGCCCGATAATCTAAACGTTCCATAAAATATCTGGTAACAATTATGGTAAATTCTCCCCTTGTATATAGCCAGCTGAATTTATATTGACAGTCACTCATTGATAATATGTTGTGTTCGCGCCAAACGCTAATTTCAAGAATTAACGCGAGAGGGCGCTCGGCGCGGTGCATTCGTACGGGTTTGACGTACGCGCGAGAGAGTTATTTTCCTACCGGCGGCGGGGTCGAGTCGAACAGTTGCTATAATACTGTGCTAACGAGAGCACGTTTAAGGACGCCCGGGAAACCTCCATTTTTGGAGTCGGTTTTGTTAGCAGACGTTGCCACGACGAAGGTTTCTTTGTTAATTCTAGAATTCGACGCCGGGCTGACAAATTGTTAGGAAGTTAACATTGACTGCGATCAAAGTCTGAATTGCGTGTTAGGCGCGCCTAATTTACCGCGAATTTGGTTATTCTAATTTGATAGCGTATATAAGTGATTTGACAATATTAATTGCTCGTGCGGTGTGTTACGTTTTTGCTTATAGTAACGGGATTTCATATAGACCGACATTCTGTATTTGTTTTGGGTGTTACGCTTTATAACAAATTAGAGTTAGTGGCTTCTGTAAGTTAGTTAATCGTACGATAGAGTTAATGGACTGTCATCGTGACGAACGAAGAAAGTGACTGTGGACGGCGCCGCGGAAGATTACCTCATTTTGGAGCAGCCTGGAACTCGGCCGCTGCTGGTCGCCTATGCTTGCCAAGGCCCCACACATTCACACCTCACTGTACACTACTCGCCATCCACTATTACACACACTCACGGCCTGCCCAAGCCTTGGTGCGAAGTTAGCATCGGATAATGGTAAGTACTATGTGTTTCTAGCTTTCTCCCATATAGTTTATTGTATTTAGAATATATTCCACGTGGCCATATTCTGGCTCCGCCCCTCTGCTGCCCGTCGATGGGATTACTCATGGGCCCTAATCCCGTCATCCTTGGTTGGGGCAGCTAGGGGCGTGTATATGTTGTATGTATGTTTTATGATCGCTCCGTGGCGCTAGTGGTCGCAAATACAACTACTGATCATCAGCTCTCGTGTTTGAATCCCGGGTAGGACCAAAAAAACAGTTTTGAGTTTTTCTCTCAAGAAGTTCTCAGGAGCAGCCCGGAGTCAGGAAGTTGGTGTTTCTATGACGGAACAGGGCGTTGCATACTCTTTCGTCACCATTACACGTAGGGGTGAGGGGGGGGGGGACTTGCGATATTATAAAACTAACTGGAAGTTACCGATAATAGTCGCTGTGTTAGAAATTGGTGATATAATTGTGGGATTGTTTCAATATAATAACAAGATGTAATAATTTTAAATTACGCAAATAAATAGTGTCGCACAATTAGCTACGTCTGTTCCTACCTTAAGTTTGTACGCCTCTTATGTTTTGTTATTATGTAATTAACTATAAAGATGTACAAATAGGTTAGTGTAAAAATGTAAGTAATTGTGTAAATATTAAATTACGTGACGTGCCAAAATATTGATTTTTTATTATTATGTTATTGTTACCTTTAGTTTGACACTTACTCAATTTTTGATGTGTAACATCTTTCCTCTTCCTTTTCCG